TAATGGTTTAGTTGTAGCAACTCTTGAATTTTCTTTTTCTATTGAAAGCATATTTTATCTAGAATAAAAAATGTCGAAAGATATTGCTTCCATGAGAGAAATACAACACAACCGACAACTCATTATGCAAGCTCTAAATAAGAACACAACAAACTTTTCAAACTATTCTAAGATATCTGAGTCATTGAAAGAAGGAAACTTAAAACTGACATTAAACCCAATGACAGATGAGTTTCTGTTTCAAGACAATAAGAACCATACTGTCTGTATAAATCCAACAAAAGGAACTTTAAACGAGAAACCTATAAATGAACTTCTTTTGAAAGCAGATGTTGACAACAAAGCTGACAAAGAATATGTAGACGATGCAATAGCAAAAGAAGAAGAAAGAGCTAACAATGCTTATGCAACAAAAGAACATACTCATCCTGAACTAGCAGACAAAAATATGTTGACAATAAAATGTCAAGTGAAGTGACAAGAGCTGAAAACGAATATTCTAAAAGACTCATACACATTCTATATCTGAAATAACAGACTTAAACGTTAGCCTTGAAAAGAAAGCGGATAAGGATTGTGTGGCTAGTGCGTTAGAGAAGAAAGCAGATAAGGAATATGTGGATGAAAAAGATAAAGAAATTATAGAAAGGGTTGACTGGTACCATGAATGGACATCGAAGATTTTAAAAACTAAAGCCGATACAGGATGGGTTTCAGGATGTTTAGACCTTAAAGCAGATAAAACTTATGTTAACGATGAGTTAGAGAAGAAAGCAAATAAGACTCATACACATACAAGTTTTACAACTGTTAGAGCAGACGACATAATACTGAACTTTGACCTTGGTTCAAGTGCACCTTTAGAGAATCCGAGTACAAGCGTAAAAGATACTCTTAACAATTTAGATAAGAGTTGCAGGAATATCGAAGATCATGCCAGAAACTTTGAAGCATATGAACTACCCGCAATGTTAGACAAGAAAGCAGACAAAAAAGAGCTTCAAAACATTAAAGACAGAAATACTTCAAACATTATATCCTATAGGCTCTATTTATACGTCAATGAACTCTACCAGACCAGAAGTAGTACTTGGTTTTGGAACTTGGACTCAAATAGTCGACAGGTTTTTGTATTGTGCAAACTCTTCAAAGGAAACAGGTGGAAGTAAAACGATTTCAGGTGAAAATTTACCTGCACACAGTCACTACATAGATTTAAGTACATCTCAAGCAGGTTTGCATAGTCATAGATTTTGGGATTGGTCAGGAATGACAAAAGGTAAAGGATATGATGTTAAAGAGGACGTTAAGTTTGCTATAAATTGTTACTGGAATAACACTGATGTAGGAGGAAACCATACACATCGCGTTTCAGGATATACGCAAACAACGGGACAAAGTAAAGAATACATGCCACCTTACATGACAGTTTACGCATGGTATAGAAATGCTTAGTCGTCATTTTCAACTTCTTTAGCATATTCGTCAGGAGTTGTCTTATATTTGTTAGGAACTGTCTTTGAAAGTATACCACCTTGAACTTTGACAAGTTTGAAACGAGGTCTGACAATAGTAGTTTTATCTTCTGCTTGCAGTGTGTACATTTTGCCATGTTTGCCTAAAACTTCATAATATTCTCTTGTATACTTTCTTCTATTTTTACGAACACGAATGTGAGTACCTGTCGGGTTCCCATTGTTGTCATAGTCAATAGTATTTTCATATGGGTCGCGTTTGGGTATTTCTATTTTTACTTTGTCACCTTTCTGAAGTTTGAAGCCCGGCATTCTTTCTTGTTTGTCTCTTTTGACTAAATTATTAATATATAGTCTTTCTCTAAGTCAGGTTGTTTTTCATTTCTTCGGGGGGTGGTTTCCCAAACCTTTTTGTTTACGGTTATTGTAAATATTTAAAACTTGTCTCATCTTTGCCATGGAGAAGTGTCTATATTTGTCGTCATATGACATTTCATTTGCTTCACCACCTTGTGGTTGGTTTAAGTCTCTTAACATTTTTATACAACCGTCAATGACACCAAGAGCAGAATGGTTTTGGTCGACAATGAAATATTGGTTTACATTTTTTGAACGCAGATAGTTTTTTACATCATCTGATTTGAAAGAACTTTCACAGTCAGATGTCAGTTTTGTTGGATGGTATTTGTCAACGAATATTGTCAAAGCAGTTTTCACATCTAAAATATTTTGGACCATAATGGTATGGCTTCACAGTATCTTGTGTTTTGACCGACAAATATTAGCCAGTATGGTGGTCCATCTGTTCTAACTCTCGGAATGTTTTCCAAGATATCCATAAACCAAGCATTTGGTGTTGAACTAAAGATTTTTACCATGAGTGCTTTTTTTGTCGCTTTAGAAACATAGGGGTCCTTGTTTGGATTCGTCATTTTTTATCCTATAAGAAATGGGTTTATTTGGCGCATTAGCAGGAGTTGCATCCAGATTTTTGCCCGCAGTGGGAACAATAGCCAGAGGTGTATTTGGAGTTGGAAGGAAGATTTTGAGTACATTAGGTATACTTAAAGAGAAAGCACAACCTATTATACAAACTGTACAGAAAGGTTGGGATGTAGCACGAGATGCAACAAATCTTATTCCAAATCCTGAAACAAGAGGAAAAGTTCAAGGATGGATGGACAATGTAGGAAGACAAGCAGGAAACTATTATAACAAAGCAAATGACTACTATAACCAAGCAGGACACTATATGGACCAAGGTGAAAGATTCTTTAACAGAGGATATAACCATGCACAACAATGGGTAAACAATAACCAACCTCAACCGCCTCAAACGTGGGGAATGTAAAGTTTTTTACTGAGATGAAATGAACAATACAGCATTGAGACAAATGGGTTCAAGATGGATTTGTCGGCTTCCAGCAGTTACACCACGTGTTTGTCAAGTTCTTCCTATACCTCAGGAAGTTTTAGACCGACTTAAAAAACAACAACAACCAGTTGAAAACAAACCAAACTAAAATTTTTTACTGAGATGAAATGACCGAAGAAGTTGAAACGGTAGATTTGACACCACAAACAAAAAGTTCAGAACCATTGTCAAAACCTGTCAAAGAACTTACAGATGAAGAGAAAAATTCAATAATAGAAAGTGCCAGGTCTGGAAATACAAACCCTAACTACAAAGTCACTTTTCATAAAAAATGGAACGGCAAGTATCTCAAAAAAGAAACAGACTCTCACAAATAAAATATTGAAGTCTGAAGGAGCTTTCGAGACAACAGATGGAAAAGTTTACTTCACTGACCAACAGTTCATTATAGAACATCTCATTGACTTAGAGTCGAAATATTCTAAACTTTACAACAAACACAAAAAGTTGAAAGGAAAAAACAACAATGGCATATGATATTTATGAAGATGTTGACGACACAACTGTTCCTGCAAGTGAAGTAAAGTCAGAGAAACCGAAAAGTGACGAAAAAACCGATAGAAGAAGAAAAACCAAAAACTGAAGATAAACCAAAACCAAAGTTTAGTTTGGAAACTAAACCAAGTCAACCTTCATTAGCTGGTATGGGTTGGCGTCAAAGACTTATGGCAGCAGGCGGTTATGTAAAGTAAAGAAAAAAATATTTTTTTATTTTTATAAAAATGCCCCATATAGAATGGATAGAAAATCTGCTAGAATAAAAGCAGAGTTGCAAAGATATGGTTGGAGAGTTTCGAAGAATTTTAAATATAGGAAGGGAAGACCCATAAAAGTCTATGACAAATTGTCTGGTCTTCGCTACGAAATGGATTTGGAAACAGCACGTGCAAATTATCCAAACAGACTAGAGAGGTTAGAAGAAGAACGTCTTATGGACATGCCTTTCGATGTGTTAAACATTGCATGAAGTAAAATTTATTTTTTAAAAAGTGACATTTTTTTATTTTATTTGAAATGTACGCTGAGTTTGTTGGAGAAGACCGTTGGGAAACTTGTTTGTTAGATGAGAAATATGAAATGGCATACCATTTTAAAAAATATATTTTTACATATATTAAATGCTTCAGGCTGAAAAACAAAGAACAAAAGTAGCAGATACAAAACCGTTAGACTATATCTTTACAAATGCTGGTAGGACTATTTCAGATGAAGAAATTTCATCCCGAGCATACAGGTTTGACTATCCAATTCGTTGGCTTCAAAAGTCCTTCAGATGCAAAGGCAATAGGATTTAGAAGAGTTTTGTTTTCAAATAGAACTAACGCATTTATGTTCGCAGTATATTTTCATGGCAGTATAAAGGTTCTGATGGTCTAATAGACAAATTTGACGAAATGAGAATCTTTACAGTTCGTTCAGACGAAAGTCTTGAGAAAACTCTAAATGACTTTCAAACTCAAATGAACAAATATTATTGGGAATTTCAAGAAAAATACGACTCTTTACTAAATGGAACATACTATCTGAAACTAGAATATGACAAGATGAACTCCACCGTTTCATTTCAAAAGATTGAAATTAACCCTCCAAGAGATACAGAGTTTTTATTTTGGAAAGTAGACAAACGTTCTTGGGCACAATTTCTTCGGTTACTAAACCAGAACGAACCATTACCACCAGATGGTCCATTTAAATTTATACTTCCACCAGCAGATTTGACAGTTTATAGAAACGTGTTTGACCCTCAAAATGTTATGTGTCATGCAAGTTTCAGTTCAAGCAACAATAGTTTTCTATGTATTGGTAAGGACTTTTATGACTTTGCTTCTAAATTCTACGAACCACCTAGTAACAGTTTCTCTGACTTTCAAGTTTGGTTCACAACAAATGGTGTGCAACATATTATTCCATTGTACTATGACTTTTATCTCGAATTGTCTTTCATATATAACTACGGAAAAGTGCTGAAAAAGTATTGAATGTGAAGATATTAGAAAATAACATTTTTTCTAACATCGTAGAAAACTCATGAAAACAATTTATTTTTGACACTTTCACAAAAAAAAAAAAGTGCAGTTAAACGTTAAGGTTTACTGAACTGGTTGGATGTCGCCTTCACAGGTTATGTAGAATGGTTGTCCTGAGAAGTGGAACAGTGCTCTGAGAATTTGTATAATTCGTGGAATTGGACTCTCTCTGTTTGGAAGTAGTATCCAAGGACGCTTGGCAAAGAACTTTATAATGGCTTCCTTCTTTGCTTGCTTTATGTCGTCGTAGGCTGTCCCGTCTGGTATTTGAATTGGAATTCCAGTCGAAGTCTCGAGATTCAAGGCAGCCCTTCCAGAAATAGTGGTGAACTTGACCTTGGGCTTCATGACCTTGCGCAAGTAGTCTTTTACGCAGTCGTTTATTTAAATTAGGTAAACTGCCTCGTCAAATCCTTCTGGCATTCCGAGTCCTTCCATCCGACAGAAAAAGTTTTTCCTTCCGACAGAAAAAGTTTTTCCTTCCGACAGAAAAAGTTTTTCCAGTTTTCCGTCCGTAAACCATTCAAATTTTCGAAAATTGAGAACTTTTTGGTCGAACTTCAGAAAAAGTTTTTCCTTCCAACAGAAAAGGTTTTTCCTTCCGACAGAAAAAGTTTTTCCTTCCGACAGAAAAGTTTTCCTTCCAACAGGAAAAGTTCTTCCTTCTGACAGGACACAAACGAATGTCCCACGTCCCACCAACCCAGTCCATTCCCAAACCAGAGGAACCTAAAGAACCACAACAGTCTCCTCAGCAACCTCAGTTCCAGCAAGTACCTCCACCAAATTACTACCAATTTCCACCTCAAGGTTACTACCCACCACAAGGCTTCCCGAACTACCCTCCTCTGCCTATGCCTTACTTCCCCAACCCTTGGATGTTCCAGCAAGCTCCACCCCAGCAATTCCAATCTCAATCCAAATCGAAGAGAGACCAAGAGTTCGAAGAAGGTCTGAACCGTTTACGCAAAGAGTATGCTACAGCCCCTATTGAGAGAAAGTTGTTCCCGGACCAAAAAATATAATTTAGGGTAGAAGGTTAGATCTAACCTCTTTTCTACCCTCTTGAATTTTCATGATTTCTTCGTAAATGTTTTGTCAAGACTTCTTCGTAAATGTTTTGTCAAGACTTCTTCGTAAATGTTTTGTCAAGACTTCTTCGTATATGTTTTGTCATGACTTCATCGTACATGTTTTGTCAAGACTTCTTCGTAAATGTTTTGTCAAGACTTCTTCGTAAATGTTTTGTCATGACTTCTTCGTAATGAGTGTAAAGGACCCAAAAATAAAGTTTATGTTAGAATGTTAGATCTAACATGTTTTCTAACATGTTTTCTAACCTCATGAATTTTCATGAATTTCCTTAAGACAGAAAAAATAAAGTTAGTTTTATTTTATATTTTTTTGTATGTAAGATATGATTTCAGGGATTTTTTGACGAAGTGTCAATGTTCACTTCGTCAAAAAATAACAGTTATCTAATGAAAAAGTGTCATTTTATTTTTTTATTTTGTATGTAAGATATGATTTCAGGGATTTTTTTGACGAAGTGTCAATGTTCACTTCGTCAAAAAATAACAGTTATCTAATGAAAAAGTGTCATGACTTCTTCGTAAATGTTTTGTCAAGACTTCTTCGTAATGAGTGTAAAGGACCCAAAAATAAAGTTTATGTTAGAATGTTAGATCTAACATGTTTTCTAACATGTTTTCTAACCTCATGAATTTTCATGAATTTCCTTAAGACAGAAAAAATAAAGTTAGTTTTATTTTATATTTTTTTGTATGTAAGATATGATTTCAGGGATTTTTTGACGAAGTGTCAATGTTCACTTCGTCAAAAAATAACAGTTATCTAATGAAAAAGTGTCATTTTATTTTTTTATTTTGTATGTAAGATATGATTTCAGGGATTTTTTTGACGAAGTGTCAATGTTCACTTCGTCAAAAAATAACAGTTATCTAATGAAAAAGTGTCATGACTTCTTCGTAAATGTTTTGTCAAGACTTCTTCGTAATGAGTGTAAAGGACCCAAAAATAAAGTTTATGTTAGAATGTTAGATCTAACACGTTTTCTAACATGGTCTAAAACTTTCGAAAATCATGAAATTTACACCAAAAATAATGTTTAGGTGAAGTGGTGCGATCTCACCTGTTTTTTCACCTCTTTTTTTCACCTCTTGAATTTTCATGAATTTTCCCGAAATAAAAAATAAAGTTAGTTTTATTTTTTTTATTTTTTTTATTTTGTATAAAAAAATAAAAATGTCAACAATCGGCACAACAACACTTCAAACAACTACAGCACCAAACTCTTTAGTCATGAATCCAACATCTATGTTAGTAGAGATGAAAAGCTTCATTCCTTCTTCATATACTTTCGAAACAAAAATCCAGAGAAGATAAAGCAAGAACTTTTAACAAGTACTTTTAGACTGTAGTGCGAAAGATGAAACAAATGAAAGTAATCTTTATGAAATGGAGGACATTATTGACCATTTGCCTAACTACCTGAAATCCAACAACAAAAAACTCACTATTCCTGAATTCGATGAAATAGAAGTCAAAGCAACTGACTCAGTAGAAATAAAGAAGTTCATACGAAAGGTAAACTATGAGTTTCTAGGATTTCATTGCAACCATAAGGTTATGGACAAAGATTGCGACATGGTATATAAGAACATCTCTGACATATATAAATCTGAAGAATTTAAGACCTACGACAACTTTGTTTCGTTAGTTGCTGAATGTGTATGGCAGATAAGAGATGAAGATAGAAGAGGTAAAGTATGGAATAAACAGATAAGACCCGCTATGTTTGAGATGAAGAAAACCATTGACGCTTTAGTTGTTTTAGCAGGTAAGGTTTCAGAATATAACGCAAAAATGAACCCGCAATGTTCAAAATGTAAGGCAGCAATGAGGAAATATAACTACTCCGTCAAAGAGATAGAACGTATGAGAAACGACTATGCAGACTTAAAGAAAGAAGCAGAAAAACCAGCAGAAGATAAAATGGACATGTTAGCATTTCTGAACAAAAACTATCCAACTGCTGACGATTTCCTTCTATCTGACGTCAAGAAGAAGTATAAAGAAACTTTCGGCATTGTTAAAACATTCGATGTACTAAAAGAAGAAATAGAGGCTACAAAACTGTTTAAAGTCATGAACCATCGCAACATATACCATGTAAAACGCTTGTAAATAGTTATGTTAGAAAACGTGTTAGAAAACATGTTAGATCTAACATTCTAACATAAAATATATTTTTGGTCATTTACAATGAAGTCTTGACAAAACATTTAAGTTCGATGAAGTCTTGAAAATTCATGAGTTTTGTGTGTTTTAGACCATGTTAGAAAACGTGTTAGAAAACATGTTAGATCTAACATTCTAACATAAAATATATTTTTGGTCATTTACAATGAAGTCTTGACAAAAACTATCCAACAGCAGAAGATTTCCTTCTGTCTGACGTCAAGAAGAAGTATAAAGAAACTTTCGGCATTGTTAAAACATTCGATGTACTAAAAGAAGAAATAGAAGCTACAAAACTGTTTAGGATTTCAAATATACATCGTACAATTCATGTAAAACGCTTGTGAAAAAAGAGGTGAAAAAACAGGTGAGATCGCACCACTTCACCTAAACTTTATTTTTGCTGAAAAATGACCAAATTTCATGAATTTTCCCGAAATAAAAAATAAAGTTAGTTTTATTTTTATTTATTTTTTTATTTTGTATGTAAGAACATATATGACAAACATTGAGTTTGAAACAGTTAAAAAGATAGACAATGACACCAAATTGGTTAGAATAGGTGATTTAAACGTAAGATACTCAAAGAAATACAACAAATATTCTTTGTCAGACATTATATCTCCATCTGGAAAGAGACCGCAGGACTGGGTTAAAATTGCTTCAACTCAGAAAATTTTGACAAGAAATCCTGAGCTTATGATATCGGTAAAATTCTATGGAACTGCAGCATATCTCATCGACAAAAGTCTTATACCAATAGTTTTGTTATGGTTAGACCCAGTTGTTGGATATAACTTCATAACATATGGTTCATTCGATACGGAACGTTGCAGTGAAGGCTTACTTTACATCGTTCAGAAACCGAAGGACTTCAATACAAAAAGATATAAGATAGGAAGAACATATAATATAACTCAAAGATATGACAGTACAGTCAATAGAGTCAAGGTTGTGTTCGTTAATGATATGAGAGCTGCTGAAACAGAACTGCTTGAAGTTTTTGAGAAAATGTATGGTGCTCCCACGAAAGGTAAAGAAACGTTTGAAGTAGATGAGATAGATAAAGCTATAAAATTATTTGACGAAGTTGCTGAAAAATACATGTAAAGCGTTTATTTTTGGTCTTTTGTGAAAGTCAGAAAATAACGCTAATTTTATTTTTTTATTTTGTATGTAAGATATGATTTCAGGGATTTTTTTTGACGAAGTGTCAATGTTCACTTCGTCAAAAAATAACAGTTATCTAATGAAAAAGTGTCATTTTATTTTTTTATTTTGTATGTAAGATATGATTTCAGGGATTTTTTTTGACGAAGTGTCAACCTTCACTTCGTCAAAAAATAACAGTTATCTAATGAAAAAGTGTCATTTTATTTTTTTATTTTGTATGTAAGATATGATTTCAGGGATTTTTTTGACGAAGTGTCAACCTTCACTTCGTGTCATAATGTAAAAATAACGTTTACCATGTAAAACGCTTGTGAAAAAACAGGTGAAAAAACAGGTGAGATCGCACCTCTTCACCTAAACATTATTTTTGCTGAATTCAGCACAAAAATCTGAGTAAAATGGCATAAGATTGCTACCCTCGAAAAACCTAGGGTAGAGATTCCGTACGAAAATCGTGAAGAACAGCGAGTAGGTAAGAAACCCCAGTCGCCAAAACTCTATGAAAATCATGAAGCACAGCGAGACCGACTTCCTTCGGGGTCGCCTAAAACACATGAAAACAGTGAATTTCCTTAAGATAGAAAAAATAAAGTTAGTTTTATTTTTATTTATTTTTTTATTTTGTATGTAAGGACAGATATGTCAACATCAGAGAACACAACAACTGCTATCGTTCATGAAGCTATAAATGAAGAATATGAGTGGGTTCAGTTTAACAAACAGTTACGTCTCATTCGTTCGGTCAAAGACGATATGTACCAGATGCAAAGTATTTTGACGGCTTGTTTTGCTCCAGATACCAAACACGCAGACGACTGGTTCAAAAACCAAAGCACACAAGAACTTTTGAGTGAAATTTCTCTAGACCGACTTTTTTCGGCCATGCATAAAACACATGAAAATCGTAAAAATTTGCCAATAAATTTGAGAGGATATTATGTACATAGACTTCTTGTAAATGCTGTTGCAATGTGGGCTTCGCCTCGTTATGCATGGCATGTTTACAGACTTCTTGACGAAATTCATAGACAAGAACGTGAAGAGATGGAAAAGAAACTTCAAGCAAAAGATGAAGTCATTGAAGCAAAAGACAAAAGCATTCAGAAAAGAATACCACGTTCGGTACCAAAAGGAAAGGAAAAGAACTATAAGTATATGATTTATACTGAAGATATGGAGAAAGAAGAAGACAGTGACATGGTTATGTTGCATTTAGTCAGAAGAAACAACAAAAGCTTTTACGACCTTGCTAAGATTTACAAATCTGACAGAAATTGGTTCTATCGCGAAAACTTACCGATTTCAATGACCCCAAATGAAGATGTGAAACAAATAGTTCAAGATACTTTACCTCAAACACACTATGATATGAAAGGTTGTACAATACTTACATTCAAAGAAGATTTGTCATTGTTAAAGGAAAAAATAACAGAGTATTTTGACAACTTCAAACAAGTAGGGTAGATGAACCATTTATTTTTCAAGCTTGACTTCAGATGGCTCAAGTAGCTCAATTAGGTAAATTGCCTTGTCAAATCCTTCTGGCATTCCAAGTCCTTCCTTCCGACAGAAAAAATTTTTCCTTCCGACAGGAAAAAATTTTCATTCCGACAGAAAAAATTTTTCCTTCCGACAGGAAAAAAATTTCCAGTTGTCCGTCCGTAAACCATTCAAATTTTCGAAAATTGAGAACTTTTTGGTCGAACTTCAGAAAAAGTTTTTCCTTCCGACAGAAAAAGTTTTTCCTTCCGACAGAAAAAGTTTTTCCTTCCGACAGGACACAAACGGATGACTGACGTTCCTCTTCCTGAATGCCTTCCAAAGCCAGAAGAACCGAAAGCTGCAGAACCACAACAGACTTACTTACTAAGACTAAACACTTAGATTTTTCAAGCTTGACTTTTTACAATTTGAACTTTGTTTGCGTAGATATGAATTCTGAAAGAAGTATGAGGGTCTTGTATGACTTTGTACTTCTCCCATAGTTCATGTCTGTCAAACTTACCTGCCATGGACTCTTTCATAAGTTCCATGAAATCGTCTTCGGACAATCCGGGGAAAAGTACAATGTCAGTAAGTATTCTTTTAACATCCTTACTTAAACTCTTTGCTGTCTGTACACAAATGACAACTGAGATGTTAAAGTGTCTGAGCTTCTTAAGAATTCGACACATATCTTGTTCTCTATTCTTAAGCAAAGGATGAGAAGCAAAGTCATCTAAGATAAGAAGACACCTATGAGGGTATGTCTTCCAATCGTACGATTGCAATTTCTTCGAAATGTATTCTATCTCTTTCTGTTTGTTTCTGAAGTGTTTCTTCTCTAATATTCTCTGCATTTCCTCATTTGGGTCTTTAAACTTAGAATTTATATACTCATTTATAGCATTATACTTCAAAAACTCTTCTTTGGTACTTCTTTATCCAATCTAACAACTCAGAGTCTTTTATACATACTAACTTAGACTTCTTTATAATATCTTTGAACGAATTGACGGTTTGGTCAAATTGACCAGAAGTACTACAAATGACAACTAACTCATAGAATGGGTTCTTCTCATCTAGTTCTTGTTGTTGTGCAGCCATTTTAAGATAAGTGAAAGTCTTACCCGACCCAGGTGGTGCAATTAGACCTGTTATACCATTCTGAGCAAATAAGAACTTGTCATGTATAGGTTTTATCTGAGCATTTTCTAACTTCCTCTTGTTCTTGTTTAAAACATTCTCAAATTTCTTGTCAATGTCAGCAAACTTTTTTTTCTAACATATTTTTAGAAAATTAAAATTTTTATCTTTTAGAAAATGTCTAGCGATTTCGCTATCTATATTCGAGACAAACTTTTTGACAGCAAAACATCTGTCGACCATAAAATCTTACATAGTGTAAACAAGAAAGGGGAATTTGTTCTAAAGTTCTGTTTCTGGGAATATGACAAGAACCATAAAACATTAGGCAGAGAAGTCTTAAAATTTGTCAATGACAGACTTGTTGACAGAGATGACGCCTCTTGGAGAGATGAAGTCCAACAAAACTTCTTAGAATGCAAAGAAGACACATGCGCTGTTCTTGAAGATGAAATAGAAAACAGAATAGATGAGCTATTAAAGGACAAAGAACTTTTACATAAATATGGTTCGGAGAAATTTGACATAACTCCACCAGAAAAGAAGAAGAAAGAAAAGAAAGAAAAGAAAGTAGAAGAAGAGAAGAAAGAACCCGAACCAGTTCCAGAGAAAAAGAAATTTGACATGTAAAAATAAAATTTTATTTTTAGAACATTTCTGGGTCAATGTCAATGTTCTCTTCCTCTTAGGAGCAAACACTGGCTTAGACTCTAAAATCTTTTTACCCAATTTACCTTGAACTTCAACTATCTTAGACTCATAATATTCATAGTCGTCTGCTTTCTTTGGTTCATAAGGTATAACAAGTTTGTATGCTTTGCCTTCTTTAAGGTTTGAAAACCTTCTGTCAAAACTTTCTTTGACTGCTAACAAACCTTCTATGTCTAAGTCTTCAAATTTCGCACCATTTTTAGTCACAATAGCAAACTTAACTGGTTCGATGTTCCAAACTTTGTTGAATGAAGACTTTTCAAAATGGTAGAAGTAAACATTCAAATATGTGAATGGGTCTAGTTCTTCTTTAAGTCCTGACATGTACTTGTTTACTGAGATGAATTTTGCCATCTTTTTCTATCGGATAAAAAAAATATTTTTTTTTAAAATTTACTCATAAAAAATTTTCTTTGTATATACACCATTCTGTACGT